ATATGTATAGCTACCAGAGGGTGTTTGAGAGTTATCAAGTTCTTTCCTTTCCATTTGCTCTCAAACATTTCAGTGAAGTACTCGGAGCGGGCGCTGAGTACACAGCGGTGAGCCTGAAATGTCTGACCATGCACCAGGAACTTGACATCACTGTGTTGACCCTGCTCCAGTAACCTGAGGGCAAAAACAAAACATACAAATGTTTGGATGACATTAATGTCCTCTGTGTGGTCTTGCAGATTTAGGTACAAGCTATAGAGGTAGTATTCTGTGCCTCTGAAACAGCTGAGGAAAATGAACAGCTCTGTAGAGAACAGCTCTTACATGTGCAGGAAGTAGTTGAAATCATCCCGCTGCATAGTGCGGGCACTGACACACTTGTAATCTTTGAGCAGGCGTCGAACTGAGTCACTCAGGGAGCCGTACAGGCACCTCTCACCATCAAATGTGTTGGCTTCACACTTGGCACCTGAAAAAGAAAATCTGATTATTCTACAATATTTTTTGGTGCAATTGTAAGAATCAGCAACAAATCCCAGGAAAACAGTTTCAGTATTTAGTCGTTTATGTGTAAACATCATTACCACTAGCCAACAGGTACTCGACCAGCTCCTCATGACCACAGAGACAGGCGTAATACCTGGAGAATAATGTACACATTTCAACATAGGATAATGATGCCATGTTAGGATTTGACTCTTCGCCTAAATTTGTACTTACAGCGGGGTACTGTCCCATTTATCTCTTACATTGAGCTCCACATCTCTTTGTTCAACGAGGTATCTGACACAGAAAAGAAAAGAAGTGGTGGAAAAGTTACAGTGGTGTACTGTAGTCTATTCAGTCACAACCACAAAAACATCATGAACCATAAACAATGCAGAAAAGATGTGAATTTATGTTTTACAGAAAAATGGGTTTATTTCCTTAATTTAGTGTCAGTTGGTTGTATGTATGTTCTACTGTTATTTAAAGCTATTTATAATAGAGTTTGTGGTTAAACTATAAAATATCAAACCTCAATTACATTTCAATTGATCTTAGGAATCAATGCTAAATTTTTTTGTAGGCCAGTACACACAC